GTCATTCCATCTCTGTTTCATTTTTTCATTGTGCATAATAGAATGTCGAAAAAGTGACTGTATACATGATGTTCAGTAACAACAAGAGAGAAAATTATCATGATATCATCGATCTATCTTATACCCTGAAAATCTAAACTATTTGCTACAAATTAATCACAATCCTAAGTTCAAATCACAAACGAACCAATTGAATGAATTACATTTTATGAATAGTAGATGACAGTAAAACTTGATTCCTTAGATCTTGCGTGCTCAGTATCCTGGGATTACTGAAGACCAAATACTTACAAACATTATGTCACGTATTGAGGTAATTTGGAAAAGTATGAAGTTAAGGCGAACCTCTAGTTCAATAATACTTGACAAAATGAAGCAAAGAACGGAGACAATTTTACCGTCAGATTAAAAAAAAAAGATGAGAGAAGAACAACCAATGACGTAATCGATCACACATATATATATATGTGTGTATAGTGACATAAGTAAATATCAAGGGGGAAAGTGCTGGCACCCAGCACCCTGGCACCTCAGCACCTGCTCAGCACCTTGGCACCTTTTCAGCACCTGCTCAGCACCTTGACACCTTTTCAGCACCTCAGCACCTTTCCAGCACCTCAACACCTACTCAGCACCTGCTCAGCACTTGTGGGTTCTGTGAAGGTTAGAAAGTTAGAACATAAATATTAATTGAGAAGTTGCTTAGAAATAGGGTAACACTATTCAGATTCGGTTTTGTGGAACTCACGTATATTTTCGAAGAAAATAGTGAGNAATCCATTTTAAGTAAGAACGAGGAATACCCATTCTTCTTAATTTCGCTAAACATCCTTGTATCCACATACGATCGAAAGCGCTTTGGAAATCTATAAAAACATTAGCGACCGGAGAAGAATTCGACATTAAAGAAGATACTTGTTCTATAAAGAGGAGGACTCTCGTTTGAAGGCGAAAACCTGGTCTGAAACCGGATTGTGAGTCGGGTAAAAGACCACGTCTTTCCAACAATTTTCGAAAACGGTTCGTAAACAGGCGCTCATTAACTTTCATAAAAACGTCTAACAATGATATCGGACGAGTCTCAGCTGGTGTACAAATAAATTCTTTTTTTGCAAGTAGGATCATTCGCGCATCTTTCCAGGCAGTAGGCTGAATAGCAGTAGAAAACGAATAATTGAATGTTTTGAGTAGTAAGGACCAATAACTACTAGGCAAAAAATTGAAGAAATAATTGGAGATTCCATGTGGGTCGCAAGACTTTTTCTTTTTAAGTTTATGAACGATTTCTAAAACTTCTTCTATTGTCGCCTCTGGTATTGCCTCGTTGTCAATATCAAAATCCGTGAAAGGGGCATCCAAAATTGGGTGCGGTCGAATGATCGCTTCAGGATTCGGTTCTTCAAAATGTTGTTCATAAAAGTCTGCAGCAAACTCTACCATTTTCTTAGCGTCCTTAATTATTTCTCCATTTGGTTGCACCAATGCCTTTAACGATGCAGATTTTCCCTTAAAGAAACTTTTAGTTTTCGACCAGAAAGCTGTCGAAACTGGCGTAGACGTATGACGTTTGGAGAGACTGTATGATGAACGCGAACTCATAAACGCTTTTAATTCGTATTTCGATTCCTTTCTTAGTCGATTCACTGCATTTTTTAAACTTAGATCTCCAGTACGTTTCTGTCTAAACGAAAGTGCACGAATAAGTGAAAAACGAGCTCGCAGCTCTTTCGGGATTGCTACCCGATATTTTTCAATGGGAAAATATGTGGTGCAGCGAGCTGAAAGAAGAAAAAGAAATCGTTTATAATCATTATAAACATTGTCTAAATTATCCATTTTCCACAAGGCTTCCCAAAACGAATAGACAACTGACGAAAAAAAAGAAAAAACTTTAAAATGAATACTTCTGCACTCTTTTATGACTTTTGATTTAATAGCAATAGATGAAATTATAGGTTTATGATCACTTGTTGTTGTTCCTGCATACGTTTGTAAGTCAACGGAAAATCTGGAAGAAAGTGCATAGTCTATTACTCTATTCGACCTTAAGCTAGTAGAATTTTTTGGAGTAAAAGGTGAAAAAAAAACAAGAATCTGCCCACTCTAGAAACTCTTCCGCAATCTTACCATCTTTCTCTAGGTCTATATTAAAATCTCCAAACATCACTGGCTTCTCATCACAGAACTGAGAAAGGTCCTCCCATATCCAAGATCTACTTTCCGAACCATAAACTCCTATTAACCTTATGCTGTTTTCTAGGTCGAGATCAAGAACAATGGTATTTGGGACTTCACAGTCTACACGTTTAACTTTTATGTCATTTCTAGTGAAAATGACAACACCTCCATTTTTGTTTTCTCCTGCCTGATAAAAAAAACGATACTTCTGAAAAAGTTGGCGGAGGGAGGTAGAATCAAAAGAACCAACTTCTAAAAGCACCATTATATCAAAACTAAATGAGAGTGACAACATAAAAATTTCTTCGACTCTAAGGTCCAGCCCTCTTACATTAAACGACAGAACATTTAAGGAATTAGAAATAGAATAGAGATCCGATTTGACGTACTTTTCCCACTCTTCAAACAACACCGATAGAAGGGAAACACTCTCCCATTCATTCAAGATGCTTCGAAACATAAGAAAATCATAACGACTCAAACACTCACTCGCTTGTTTCAACTTGTTATCTCTTATATAAAAACTATTTTCATTTGCGCAAGAGAAAAAAGGAACAGCAAGGGGCGACAGTTTCATTTAAGAAATTGTTTACTTTCCACAATATTATTTAACCGTGCTCCGTAAATTTCTAGATGTGAGTGTAGTGTTTCGTCCAAATATCTTCCCTTATTTGTATTCTTCTCTCTAACAAATTTAATCAGATCTCGACAGAAAGGTAGTAAAATATCCTTCGTCAATTCTTCACTTTCATTAATTCTGGATTTAAACGTTTGATTTTCCATAGACAATACTAAAACATTTTGTTTCAACTCTTCATTCGACTTTCTCATTTCTTCAACTTCCGACGATAATTTTTCTATTTTATCATTCAATTTCAGAATTATCGTATTCATTTTATCTAATTTATTTAATATTTCTGCGCTCTGTGTAGTGGATGTATTTGTAACAGTTGCTCTCTGAGCTAGAGGTAGTTGTGGAAAATTTGACTGATCATGTGAATAAGCAGAAGACGAAGAAACAGGTGCAAAATTATTATTACTATTAAATAGACGACGTGTAAGATCAGCTCTGAACTTTCTAACTTCACTGCATTTCATATTATCGCTAGCATGATTTTGCTTACAATGTATACAGCATAGTTGTTTTGAACATAAAGGTAAATGCTGTTTTATATCATTGACAGTCTGTCCACACTTTCGACAAGTCTCGCCATTTTGTCGACACTGACGACGAAAATGACCGATCGAACAACATTTTCCACAAATAAAAACTCGAGCTTGAGCTAGATACTCTTCCACAGTAAAATGAAATAGAACAAGCACGCAATTTACCATCACTTAAAAGATTTTCTCTTTCTCCTGGGCTATTAAATTCTAATTTTACTAAGGTAATTTCTTGTTGAAATCTGTTTTTCATTCTTACAACATTTTCTAAGCTACTAAACATTGATTTCAATTCGATGGTTAATTCTTCAATGTCAATAGACAAACCGACACCTTTAATAATTACGGATAACTGAGGTGGAATACTCGGTGGCTTTAGCCTAATGAACGTCGATCCAAAAAGTGTGGTCGGCCAATTTGTTTCCTTATACAAAAATGAGAAAGAGAGACTGTCTTTAACAAAAAATAAAATATCACATTCATTAGCGGTACATTTAAGAGTCGAACGACGATATCCAATCAATTCCAATTGGACATGTTTATTGTGTTTTAGATGTTTACATAATTCCTCTGATACCTTCTATTCTTTTATATTGGATGATGGAAAACGAACAATAAACGGTGGAAATGGATAACGTGTACGTGCAAACCTTTCAGCTTCTTCAGTTAATTGATCGTTGTTAAATGTTGAAACAGTCATCGTTTCTGTCTGTTTCTGATTAGACTGAATAAATTGAGTAGACTGAATAGACTGATTTAACTGAGTGGAATCGAACTGAACAGCTGTTGTCCGTGAATTTGACTGTCGATTGGCATTTTGTCTCGTATTATAATTGTGTGCATGTATTTGAACCTGTTTTCGTTTATGACGACGTTGAACAATTTTAGTAGTTGTATCATTAGTAAAATCTTCATGTTCCGTGATATCATCATTCGAAATTGAATGCGATCGTTGTGAAGAGGATACTATGAAATGACCTTGATGACCTTTATTAGAACTTGGATTCTGATTCTGTTACCATTGTTGTTGTAGATAAGTAGACGACGTAAGATGTCGTTCACTCATCTCTAAGTTTAAATTTCTTCGTTTTTCGGGTCAATTAATTAATTACGTCGATCACGTGGCCAAAAACGTGATTAAACTAACCACAGAATTATATGAACTTTAAACTTAATACGTAGTGATGTGACAGGTAATATTTTCGCGTTGCACTATTATCTTTTTCTTTGCTTGTTCTTTGTGTTCTTTTTCTCTTCTCTCTCATCTATATAACCTTCTTTTAAACTCATTGTGAACCAAATATCTATATGGCACAATAAATATATATGTTAAAAAAAAAAGAGGGGAAAACGACGATCACATGCGTTAAAAGCATACGTACCATCTTTAGTAGATAAATTGAACAACAAATTCTTACAGCTTTCATCAGTAATTTATTTTTACATAATTCATATCAAGGGTAAAGTAAAAGAAAAGATAAAATATTATATCCATAATGAATTGCAATTCTTCGTTTCTTCTATTTCGTATAATGTCACCCAGTAGTTTTTAATCTTATCATGATGATAACCGAAACATACTTTTCGAACGTTACATCCAGGCAAACACATGTATATAAATAGAGAATGAATACAAGAACAAGGTCATTTATTGAAAAATGAGTATAATATCTATTCTTTTTATTTGTATTATTCTATTTCTTGTTGTCTATTTACTTTACAATCACTTGTGTTATTTTTCTAATCGTTCAATCCCTTCTCCACCAATACATTCGATAATATTTGGTCATTTATATGATCTCTGGTCAGCTAAATCATATTCAGAACAACTTCGTCAATGGACTCGTCAATATGGTTCTGTCTATGGTCTTTTTGAAGGTACTCGTCCTCAGTATGTCATTTCTGATATCAAGGTCATGGAAGAAATATTTATTACACAATTTGCTCGTTTTTATGCCCGACGAACTGCATTCGCAAATCGTATAGTAGGTAAAGAACATTTTAATGTTTTTTCAGCTAATATAGCTCAACTATGGAAAAAACAACGTAAGATACTTAATCCAACATTTAGTGGGGCAAAAATGAGACGATTATTACCAACAGTTGAAGCATGTGTTAATGTATTTATGAAAAGATTAGCATTAATACCGAATGGAACAATCATTAATATTTATGAACTATATAAACGATTGACAATGGATACTATTTGTAAGGTTTTTTGATCTGATTATATTATTTCGATTGATTGAATGAATTTGTTGAACAGGTCAATGCGCATTTAGTATTGATACAGAAGTGCAATATGATCTTGATAATAATAATATTTATATGAAAAAGGTAGAAGAATTGTTTCGACATGATTTTGAACGTACACGTCTAGGTAGAATACATCGTGCTACATCTCATACACTATTAGCGAATGTATGGGTGTTTATATATCGTTTGCAACTATTTTTCAAAAGTAAAAATTCATCTCTTCCAGCTGGTATTTGGTTGAGGAGACATATGTACGAATTTATCCAACAAAGACATATTGATCTAAATAAAAAGAAATCTGTTGAGGATTTTGTTCAATTGATGATTGATGCTGTAAATTCAGATAAGGTTTACACCATTGTACTCCATAAATTGTATCTGAAAGCTTTTAATTTTATTTTAATAGGAACAACTGTTGCCAACTGAATTGTTAAGTAACGTACTTATTATTCTTATCGCTGGTTTTGAAACAACATCAACAGCACTTGCTTATTGCACATATCATCTTGCTATACATCCAGATATTCAACAAAAATTATATGAAGAACTTCTCGAACATTGCTCTTCTGATTCTAATTCTTATGATGTAATTATGTCAAAATTGACTTATATGGATATGTTTGTTCGAGAAGTTTTACGTATGCATCCTATTGCTGTTCAAGCTATAAATCGCGAATGTATGGAAGATACTGACGTTGCTGGATATCACATTCAGAAAGGTTTTACTTCATATTGAAGAATACAAAAAGAATACATTATTTGTTTTGATTAGGTTCCTCGATTCAAGTAGATGTACTTTCAGTTCATTATAATCAAGAACTTTGGGGTCCTGAACCTGTTGATGAATTTCATCCAGAACGTCATTCTTGCAAACGACATCCACTAGCTTATATGCCATTTGGTGGAGGACCACGTATATGTATTGGCATGCGATTTGCACTTAGTGAGTCTTATGTCATTTGTGATATCTATTTATTAATATCTTGTCTTGGTTATTTTAGTGGAAATAAAATCATGTTTAGCTCGGCTAATGAGTACATACCGTATTTTGCCATCATCACAAGAAATAGAATAATACAAATAAAAAGAATAGATATTATACTCATTTTTCAATAAATGACCTTGTTCTTGTATTCATTCTCTATTTATATACATGTGTTTGCCTGAATGTAACGTTCGAAAAGTATGTTTCGGTTATCATCATGANGAAAATGACCGATCGAACAGCATTTTCCGCAAATTAAAACTCTAGCTTGAGCTAGATATGCTTCCACGGGAAATGAAATAGAACAAGCACGCAATTTACCATCACTTAAAAGATTTTCTCTTTCCCCTGGGCTATTAAATTCTAATTTTACTAAGATAATTTCTTGTTGAAATCTGTTTTTCGTTCTTACAACATTTTCTAAACTACTAAACATTGATTTCAATTCTATGGTTAAATCTTCAATATTAATAGACAAACCGACACCTTTAATAATTAAGGATAACTGTGGTGGAATACTCGGTGACTTTAGCCTAATTCAGGTCGATCCAAGAAGTGTGGTCGGCCAGTTCATTTCATTGTACAAAAATGAGAAAGAGAGACTGTCTTTCACAAACAATAATATATCACATTCATTTACTGCACATTTAAGAGTCGAACGGTGATATCCAGTTAATTCCAATTGAACTTGTTTATTGTCTTTCAGATGTTTACATAATTCCTCTGATACCTTCTGTTCATATTATATTAAATTATGGAAAACGAACAATAAACGGTGGAAATGGATAACGTGTTCCTGCAAACCTTTCAGCTTCTTCAGTTAATTGATCGTTGCTAAATGTTGAAGCAATCATCGTTATTGTCTGTTGCTGGTTAGGCTGAATAAGCTGATCAGACTGAATAAATTGAGTAGACTGAATAGCCTGATTTAACTGAGTGGAGTCGAACTGAACTGCTGTTGTCTGTGGATTTAACTGTCGACTGGGATTTTGTCTCATATTAAAATTGTGTGTATGTATTTGAACCTATTTTCGTTTATGACGACGTTGAACAATTTTAGTAGATGCATCATTAGCAAAATCTTCATGTTCAGTCATATCATCATCCGAAGTTGAATGTGGTCGTTGTGAAGAAGGGACTACGAAATGACCTTGATGACCTCTATTAGAGCTTGGTTTCTGACTCTGTTGCCGTTGTTATTGAGGATAAGTAGACGACGTAAGATGTCGTTCACTCGTCTCTGAGTTTAAATTTCTTCGTATTCCGGGTCAATTAATTAATCTCGTCGATCACAAGGCAAAAACGTGATTAAAAATTAACACAGAATTAGATGAACTTTAAACTTTATACGTAGTGATATTATGTAATGAAAGAAAGAATATACGTTCGCACGCCGTTTGTAAAAGGAAGGAATGAGCCGAGTGACTAATACTGTTCTCTTACTTCCTCACAAAGAACACGTTAAATAAATTCAACCAGATAAAAGAAAAGCAGTAACCTGTGACGAAAAAATGATCACATGTCATACGAAAAATCATTCTATGTTCGCCTAAACACACTTGCTATTATATTGCACGAAAATATTGCAGATATCAATAGTATTTAACTGAAAAGTAAGTTGAACAGGCTTCACGAAAAATTATATAACATGGTATCCACAATATTGATCATAGAAATTTTAAGAAAGGAACTTATGAACAAAGGAGAAAAACGTTCGATGTTGGGAAATTCCCAGCTTTACGTCATCGAAGTTGGAAACTTTCCTTATAATTAACGGCTGGTCCAGATTAAATTGCCGGAGTTTGGTGGGCTGTTTTATCTGAAGTTAGATTGGATCATAATTTTCCGTGCTGATGTTAAAAGATGCAGAAATTTTGTAGAGTTTATTCATATTTTCGTTTTTCAAAAGACTATATACTGGACATTTGTAACATGAAAAGTACTAGATACAACAAAAAATAGTACTGCTCAGTGCTTTTACTGGAATAAAATGTCATTTTTCCTTGTTAAAAAAATTATTAATGCTATTCAAATGTAGCATGGTGAAGTGCACAAATATAAATCTCTTTTAGACGCAAAACAAAATTTTTGGAGAAAGTTTTATTATTTAAAAAGTCACGTCAAAATTATACCTAATTATCCATTTCCAATGCGTTTTCATCTAGCAAAGAACATTTTCACTTCGCCATTCAGTTAGAGAAATGAGTTAATCTTTTTCAATACCAGCATTTTGTAGAGCTTAAAACTCTGTATACATGGATATAAATAGAATTATTTCGATAAGCACGCGTTTCGAGGAAACTGTTAAAGAAGAGTAGTAATCTGGACATCCAGGAGATTGTCTTGAGTTTTTTATATGTTTCGAAAGAGAGATAATTCAGTAAATCAAAAGCAATATACCGCTAGATAACCAGAAAAATTCTACATTTCTCATGAACAAGAAGAAATCTTCAGAGAAAGTCTAATTGCATAAAAACTGATTTTTAAAGATTTCCCATTATTCAGTTGAGCAGTGCTCCCTTCGCAGTATCCCATATTTTTAATATCGTCGAATCTAATTTGAAAAAAGAGTCCATCAAAACCTGCAATTTAATCTGGGCCACTCGTTGTTCGATGCAAACAATGAAAGGATGTATCAATAGTTTTCTGTCGCAACTTCAAAATATTATATCAGCATAAACATTTTTGAGACTCAGACGAGTTCAACTGCTAAGTAAGCGTATTTTCTGTACTTTCATCGAAAGAAAACATGTCGGAAACTAAAATAGAAACTTCCGTGCGTTTTTTTTTTTTTTGTAGCAAAATCTCTTAAAAACTGAAAGAAAAACAAAAAACATCGATATATCAGTTAATCAATGTTAAATAGAGTTCTGATTCTTTATTCAGCATCTTCCGAACCGATTCTTCTTTCAAGACTAATATGAAGATATTTCATTTTCAACTTAAGATTTCTTCTGAAAAATCGTCTAATGCAGATCTTTCCGCTAAAAACTTCAAAAGAACATTCGTCATCGTAAAATGGTGCTATCTCAGATAAGCTGATAGTCTAATGCAGTGAGTCTGCATCATACTGATTATAGTGGCAGACGGTTTTAGTTTAAAGGATAGTGAAAGGTACGTTTTGCTAAAATCATCATTTTCAGTATGTAAAGCTTAATTGACATAATATATTCTAAGTTTCCGAGTAGATCAATAATTTCTTCAAAGAAATTTTCCATTGAAACAAATAGTTTCTGAGAAAATTTCGATTTGCAGCACAACCCTTGCCACATTAAAATTTAAGATTAGTCTTCTATAGTCTGTAACTGCGTATGAGCGGAGCTGATAAACTTCAGTGAGAGAGAGAAAATATATTTTTGACTTCCAGATTTCATAATTGTTCAGAAACGTAAACTTTTTTAAAAAATAAACAACGAGACACGCTCAACTTTTCTGCTAGATTCTTCAACATTCAACTTCAATAGTTTTTCAGGGAATTTTTAAGTTTGACTTCCTAACACTATACTTACTTTCTAAAAAATAAAGTGTGCCCATCATACTGATACTCATTCATTTCCTCATCGTGACAGTTTTATTATCCATGGTTTTTCTCGTCATGAACCATCACGCTTCTAAAGCTTTAGTTCCTCGCAGTTAAATTTTCAAGTATTGATTCATTGCCTCATTTGTACACAAAAGACGATAATTGAGAAATTTTTTCTTCGAGCCTTGCCTATAAAAATGAGCTGAGATTACTTTTTTACCGTCGGAAGTCTAAAATTCATCAATAATAAAGATAACATTGTAAATAAAAATTATTCTTTATCTAGGCGAAAGTGTCGACATATAGCGAAGAACTTCACAGAGATTTTCAATATTTTACACGTTTTGGTTCAATTTTCTTTTTATTCAATTTCTTCGATCGATCATCGGATGGCCACTCAACGTGACAAAAATGGCGAAGAGAGACTAGGTAATTTTCTTACTTGGATGACTCGTTTGATATGTTTAATTATATCTCTATAGACAATAATACACCCCATAAACGAATAAAAATAGATGGTGCAGATAGCAATTCAATGTTGCAGTCTTTTGGTTTGGAAAAAGCTTCAGCTATTGTGAATGTCATATCAGCAAAACTTAATGAAGAAAGTTGCGCGGCTGTTTTAGACTATTCTACTAAAAAACCACGTACAGTTTATGCCAATGGTTTAGAAAGGTAACACTAACAGAGTTGTTTATCTTTTCAAGATATATTAATATTTGAATTGATTTTTCTCATCAGTAGTTGCCTTGAAACAATACCAAACGAAACTTTTTTCCAACTATTTTTATATATGAATCATCCTGATATAGTTCGTGCATTCTTCGGTCTCAATCATCGTTTCAATTTACTTGTAAGCGAATCCATTCGTCATCTCAATATTCCTGCTGACACACGAGCTGATTGGTTTATGAGTTATATGCCTCGTATTCAGAATACAATCGAGATGATCATTCTTAAAACCGAATCAGTGCCTCATATATTTTCATGTACACATTCATATCCAAATCTTCGTTCAATTATTCTCAAGAATAATTATGAATTCATTGCCAAGTTGAACGTCGAAAATTGTTCTGCTTTAGGTGCCATTATTTCATGTTTAAATCTACTTCGAATATACAACGCTTGGGCGATAGATGATGAAAACGAACAAATGATACCTCTTTTTGCAACTGAACCTATAGATCGTGATTTTGACACTAAAGTATGTGATTGAGGAACATGATGAAATTGTATATTGAATGAAGAGTTTTTAGATGGATACCTTTCTGAACATTTTGCCATGTACAGCCGTAGAGTATTTATGTGTTGATGTGGCATCTATAGAAGATTGGATGTATTTATGTGGTCGGGCACCCAATTTGACACATCTTCGCCTTTCTCAATCGACTTCCGACAACTATGAATTTGACTCCAATGATATTATGGATATTATTCCTAGGCCTATGTTTTTAACTCGAGTCTATATCACTTTAGATGGGCGTCAAACAGACTTTAGTACTATTGAGTGGCTAATTGGCGATTGCCAATCATCTCTACAATATTTCAAGCTCATCTCAGATGCCTGTGGTATAGCTTCTGGACAACGCTTGGAAACATTGCTTCGGCCATGTCAACAGCTCAAGACACTCGAATTCACATTCCAGTACAATGACAAGAATGTTGATATGGTTGTATTATTACGCGAATTCCAAAGTGATTGGTGGCTTAGTGATTGTCGGCCAGCAGTACTTATTCAACGCAACAATAATGGTCACATAGTCATTGTCACGATGCCCTGTTCTTTTAAGGGATTTCTTTCATTGTCGACTAATCAGAAAATGTGGCTACTTAACAAAGGCCAGCTTGATTCATCGTCCTTTCGGTTCACTAAAGTGACATCAATCGTTTTCTGCAACAATAACCGACAACCTGTTACTCTCGATTTCTTGCATTTTATCGATCGCACCTTTCATTCACATCATCAAGAGTTACAATTCAACTTTTGGACATTTCCATGTCCACATACACTTTACGAACAGGTCAGTTTCTGCTTTTCATAAGATGATTCGTGTGAAAGAATGAAGAAATTCAATATATATCTCTAAAATTATTCGATATTTTGCAGATGATCAACACAACACAAACCATCTCGGTATTGCCTAAGGTGATAAGTTACTCTATGTGGCATACTGATTATGATTTACCAGATGGCGTGTCATTCATGATATGGCTTCTTTTAGCACCAAATGTCAGAAGTTTATGTCTAAGATCAAGGTCACATGCACAGAAACTGCAACTGGGAAAAGAATTACTCGAATTGATCGAGATGGATGAGCGTCTGAAACCTATTGTCAATCGTCTGGAGACAGTAAACATTTTTAATTACTTCGACGAAATCGACAATGCAACTAAAATGGAGCTTTCTGATCTCTTTACTAAAATCTTCCCAAGAGCTCGGATTTATTAGCTGTATCAGTTCGTGAACTCTACTGAAGTTTAACGTTTTTCATCATGATCAATTTTTCACCGCATCATCTTTCTTACACTCTTCTTTTCTAACTTAATAAGCAAGAACTTCATTAATATTATATCTGTTGTTCTAATTTAAAGTGATATTCGAGACCTTGTTATGCATCGATTTCAATACAAGTTCTGAACTGTACTCATGTTGAAATAATATTCAATGTCTCAAGTTTACTTTTCGATAAAGGTAGATATTCACAAATCTTTGTAGGAGTTTAGAAATTTATGGACTAGAATCCAGGGTGTGGGTATGGGTGTGGGTGGGTGCAAGCGAATGAAGTAACCGTACCCACACCCAATCTGAGCTTGAGTTCTGTTCGGACCGCTCCACTATGTCTCCCTGTAAATTTTTGGTATCCTTCAACGACATATGCGATCTTACTCTCTTATTTCACGCAGACCCAGAGTCACTTTTTGTGCACTCTTAATGGTGAAGCCTTGCATGGTCATTGATCATATATTGCTCTGTTCTTCATCATTTCATACAAACCCTAAAGTATTTTTGGTGTATTTGAGATATGCCTAAAATTTACAGAAACATCATTTGAAGTACTTCAACTGTTCAAAAGTTATTCACATTTTGATCTATCTGAAAGCATAGCAGCATGTCGCAGTGTCTGTGACGACCCGTGATAGAGGCTAAAAGACCACGCCGATAGAAAGAAAAATCCGATTTTTCTGGACTTAAGGATTTCAAATTCATTGAAATCTCAAATATCATGTCGACATGTCTGTCATGCGTCTGTGGACCAGGTCAAGGAGGGGCTGCGGTGGTTTACTTGTCTCACCATATATTTCAACACTCACTAACACACTGGATGACGTATATGAATTAAAAAATAATTACAAACAAGCAATAAGCTCATCCAGGAGGGGTACAAATAATTTGAGGTTTTTGTCAGAGATACAGTGTTTTCGAAAATAACAATACTATTTCTAGCGGAATATCAATACTTTTAAACCAAAAATCATGATTTGGTCATTTTGTTTATAAATGCATAGTTGTTGGCTGAAAAGATTTAACAGCTAATATATTTGCCATTAATTTGCATAATATCAAAAATGCTGGCTCAATTGGAGAGTGCTTTTTTTTCTGAATGTTCTTTTATCCTTTACAAGAATATCATAGTATATCCTTTGAAATTTTGTTAAAGCTCAAATTTAAGTCACCTATCATTGTGAAAAGTAGAAGCAAGTCGAATTCAACTTATTAATATTAGGTATACGTTTCAATAGGAATGCCTTTTAATGATTTTGTCAAATCAGCATAGTAGTCAATAGACAACAACATAAAAGAAATTCATAAGTTAGAGAAAGAAAAATTGACGAAGCTCATGATGCTTGTGAAAATATGCTACTGTCGAGTGTTCGGGTAATTGCTATAGCCTGCCTCATTCCTAAGAAGAGCAGCAGACCGAATTACGACTCAATATCCACTGATGAAGCCATAAAAGAAGAAATTTATCCAATCAATATATGAAAAAATTTTACAAGATCGAGATGGCTTATCGGTAAATATAAAGTGATAGTCGACGTGCATAGAACATGTAAAAATTTGAGTCCAAAATTAGAACCAATAACAGAAATAAATTAATTCAACAGTAAATTTTCTGCAGTACTTTTTAAAAAGATTTGGAAAATGATGAACTTATATATTTCAGTTCATAATTATCATTTTGTAAAATTGTTTAAAATCATATTATATGAAATACAACTTCAAAGAGTGTACTATCATATAAAAAAGCAACTACGTCGCTTTATATGTAAATGCAATTTGTACGCGAACTTTTCGTACGAACTTTTAGGATACCCTTTTGTATACGAAAATAAATGCGAAAACCTCGGATTTAAATTCGAGTGTTATGTGTACTTCAAAAAGTGAAAAGGTATATTCACTGTGATTTTTATCACTAAATTGCAAGGAGAAAATACAGGCGTGTTAAGTTAGCATGGACCACGCTGTATGCTACCCTATCCGGTGACCACTGACTCTACTCTGAGAGTGATATAATATCTTTAGAAATCACAGGAATTGAGTTCAGATTCGTGTTTAGCTTGGAAAACTGGCTAAGAAGAGTTATTTTTGAATGGATTTGCGTTTGTATCTAGCAGGATTACGATCGTAAGCAACCTAATCAATCTATAAGAGATATATCATAGATACAGGCATCACTATTTTCCTAATAAGTCACCAATATTAATAGCTATCGAGTTAGAGTTTTTACCTTTCGATAGTCCTTTTGACTAGCTACAAAATCAGGCATTTGAAAAACCCCAAAACTACTGGTCATCTGAGATAAATCTAGGCAACTTGGTTTCTGGATGCAGTTTTTTTACATTTGAGACCGTTTTCAGGCAATGTTTCGTTAGAAAACTACGATTTGGTTCGAAACTAATATCAGATTCGGAATCAACGTTAAAAACGGAGTCGATTTATATATATTGTGAATAATTATGAGCAAAATGTTTTTTCTGAAAAAATCCCAGTACACTCCTCAAGGATGGTCTGTTCAATAATGACAATTTTTTCGATAACTCAGTCATTTCTTGACGGATCCTTCTCATTTTCGAACTCAACCGAGATATTGATGAGATAATTCTTTGCACAAAATTGCAGCTCAATCGAATATAATTGTGAAGAGTTATCATGTCAACGGACGGACACACTGACCGATTCTAGAGTGTACTTACTTTTTGCCTACGCAAAAAAGTGCATGAGTTGCCTAATTCGAATTCGAATATAAATGGACACTCAGCTACATAGTATCAATTCGAAAATAAGTGATAGAAATAGATTTAGTTTTAGATTTAGATTTACTTTAAGAGGGACTGCATGTGCGGCCTCAGCTGAGGGTGCGGGGTACCTGGTGAGGGTGCCGAGTTAGGGTACCCGGTCACGNGAAAATGACCGATCGAACAGCATTTTCCGCAAATTAAAACTCTAGCTTGAGCTAGATATGCTTCCACGGGAAATGAAATAGAACAAGCACGCAATTTACCATCACTTAAAAGATTTTCTCTTTCCCCTGGGCTATTAAATTCTAATTTTACTAAGGTAATTTCTTTTTGAAATCTGTTTTTCATTCTTACAACATTTTCTAAACTACTAAACATTGATTTCAATTCTATGGTTAAATCTTCAATATTAATAGACAAACCGACACCTTTAATAATTAAGGATAACTGTGGTGGAATACTCGGTGGCTTTAGCCTAATGAAGGTCGATCCAAGAAGTGTGGTCGGCCAGTTCATTTCATTGTACAAAAATGAGAAAGAGAGATTGTCTTTAACAAACAATAATATATCACATTCATTTGCTGCACATTTAAGAGTCGAACGGTGATATCCAGTTAATTCCAATTGAACTTGTTTATTGTCTTTCAGATGTTTACATAATTCCTCTGATACCTTCCGTTCTTTTATATTAGATGATGGAAAACGAACAATAAAGGGTGGAAATGGATAACGTGTACGTGCAAACCTTTCAGCTTCTTCAGTTAATTGATCGTTGTTAAATGTTGAAGCAGTCATCGTTTCTGTCTGTTGCTAGTTCGGCTGAATAAGCTGATCCAATGCTGTTGTCCGTGGATTTGACTGTCGATTGGCATTTTGTCTCGTATTATAATTGTGTGTAATTTGAACCTGTTTTCGTTTATGACGACGTTGAACAATTTTAGTGGATGCATCATTAGTAAAATCTTCATGTTCCGTCATATCATCATCCGAAGTTGAATGTGGTCGTTGTGAAGAAGGCACTATGAAATGACCTTGATGACCTCCATTAGAACTTGGTTTCTGACTCTGTTGCCATTGTAGTTGAGGATAAGTAGACGACGTGAGATGTCGTTCACTCATCTCTGAGTTTAAATTTCTTCGTTTTCCGGGTCAATTAATTAATCTTGTCGATCACGAGGCCAAAAACGTGATTAAAAATTAACACGGAATTAGATGAACTTTAAACTTTATACGTAGTGATATTATGTAAGGAAAGAAAGAATATACGTCCGCACGCCGTTTGTAAAAAGAAGGAATGAGAATTTCATATATTGTGAACAGTGTATGTGCTCTTTTCATTTCTTAGTCAATTAAATATTTACAAGAAAAATTTATTTGCTTTCGAATATCTGTTTTTTTGAGTTGAACGAAAAAAGATAAATCCTATTAAAGAACGACATCTACCTTTCAATTAACGTTGAAAGTGATTATTTTTATTGATCTTTTCGTTCTTATTATTTATCTTTTTAATAAATTAATTACTTTTACTTTTTGTTCGATTATAACTGTGAGTTTCGTTCTTCTTCTTCTTATTATCTAATATGTAGGTGTTTAACTTTGAATATAAGATAAATCATCGGAACATGTTAATAGGAAATTGTTCTGGCATTTGTTTTTGTAGAACTTTTCACAACGCATCCTTTAAAAACAGGTGAATATTTTATAATTTATGCATCCTGAGATATATGCAAAGTAAAAAGTGTGCAAATATTTTGGAACATCCGATAAATACTTGATCACTAGTTCATAATACAATCGTTGCTTTTTTGTTTTTCGATTTGTACATGACGTGTTTATATATTTTAGTCCATTTCAAACTGATTACTCAGCACATAGCTTGATCAAACATGTAGTTTAGTTATTCATAA